CAATGCAGTGAGGAGCCCTGCTTCAGAGGTGAAGCAAAAGCTTTTAAACTGGAGTTAGCAGGTTAGAGCAAAGAGTGGATGGCTGAGAAAAGATCACAGACTAATAAAGCACTATAAATAAAAGCTTTGGAGTGGAGCTTGCAAGTGCAACCCACCTTTGCCTTGTCTCTTTCATTCTGGAGTTCAGTAGCTCCGTATTGCAGACGGAAGATCAAGGAGTGGGTAATCTTTAGAGCTATTTGCTCATAAGAAAGGTAATTTGTTGTTGTTGTGCTTGGTTGCCTTTGGAGGGCAGGATTAATAAAAGATGCACATTGACACTATTGGGCACTCTTTAATAATTTTATGTGGACCAATGAAGTGTCCTTCATAGCCTAAGAAGTATTTTAATCTAAAAAGGATAAGAGTCTCTGAAATCTGCCATATATCATTCCTCTTCCATAGCTACCCCATAGTGTGAGCATTTCTCTGTGTGTCCAGTGGGGTTTTCTTGTTCTGCCTCTGAACTTACTCTTGGCCTGTAGTAGGACAGGCAGTGTGTGTGGAGGGTTGGTAGGCAGGTGCTGTGTGGGAGCAGGGGATGGGTGTGCTAGTGCAGCCTCTGTGGGAGGCTCACCTGCCCCAGCAGCTGATGGAGGGTTTCTTAAGGGTCGAAACTTGAGGGAGCCAGGACTTGGAGGTTGGATACTGACTCCTGACCGTACTGGCATGTGTTACCGACCCACCTGCGCTGCCTGTGGCTTCTGTTAGGTGTATTTCTAGGTCATTCGGAAACAGTTGGTTTGGACTCAAGACTCTCCCCTCTGTCTTTGGGTCAGGGCCCCCACCATGGCCTGCACTAATAAGTGCTACTGTGCAAGGAGCAGCTTACCAAACGAAGAAAGGCTCGTTATTTCTCAGTGTCTGCTGTTCTTCAACTGTATCACCTCTGCCTGTCCCCGCATTCCTCTGCTTCTCTGGGAAGTTCGTTTCCCACCAGACTGTCAAGTGTCATTGAAGAAGGGTTGAGAACTGCTTGGCCTCTTGCAGCTCCAGATGCTCGCTGAGTTTGTGCAGTCCCGGCTGTCGCGGTGCTCTGAGGTCCTTAAAGCCCGGCTAGCACCAGCTGGAGGACACGCTGGACGAGTGCTCCACTGGAACGTGAACTTTCTGTCAACAGCTGGGTGATTCCTGCTTGCACTGAGATTGTAGGGAAGTTGCTCTGTGTGATAACTGCAATAAATGTAATTGTGCTTTGTTAGATGAATTTGAACAATCAGGGCAGAGTTTTGGGTTAAACTGCCTTTCTGAGGGTATTTATTCTGATGCGTTTGTTAGAGGTCTGGGTTTTAGAAGGGGAGCACATCCAGAGCGGGTAGAATTAATGTTGCTTTTCTTCCTTGACAACAGAATGCATCATTGGGGTTTTTGGGGGGCCTGTTGGTGGCATTTTGAGGAAGAGTTGTGTTGGGTTTCGCCCTGTTACTTATATTTAATGCTTTTTAATGTACATACAGCTATGTCTTTTTGTCCCATACCAAGTTGCTCCTCAGGGAATCCTATTCCTTCCTGTCCCCCTTCCTAGCCTTTTAACTACTACTTATTAGCTTGCTTTTTTCTCTTACCTGCAGTTCTATTTTGAGTTTGGACTGCTAGAAATGGTTATTGAAGCAGAAACAGAAGCCGTAGAAGCACTTTTAGCCTCAGCAGTAAATGCCAGCGCAGCCAGCTTTGCTCCTTCTGCTTTCAACACTTCCGCTGCCTCTAGCACTGGTTTGGAAGGTGAGCTTTTTGCTGTGGAAGAGAATGTACAATTTCTGAAAAGGCTTCTAGAAACAGGTCTAACTGAAATGTGTGTTTCAGTAGCATGGTGCTCCCTGGCACAGCAAGTGGAGTGAGTCACTGTCTTATTTCGAATATTTTAGGAGTATTTAGAGTGAATGTAATTACTGCATAGTCATAACAGTACCTGGTGCACGCATTGTGCTCGCCTTTGTGGAGGGTAAGTGTGCTTGTATAAATGATCTGGGCTAGATTCGCCGATGTAGTCAAACACCCCTCTCACGCTGAGTTTTAACTTACTTCCTGGGATCTCTGTAAGTGGTGATTCTGAGAAGAACGAGCCCCTTCTTTCCAGGGTAGTGGATCAGCAATGACATCAATGTTTATCCCTAACACACGTAATGCACTTGTCATGACAGCAATTAAGTCTGTGCCTGTATTAAACTAAACTGCCTGTGTTGGAGCTTTGAGACCAGAATGCTCTGGTCTTATATACAGTATTAAACACTCTCAGCCTCCAGAACAGAGTGATTGCACCCAGTGGGCAGGGTCTCGGCTCCATGCTAACTCCTGAGCCGAGCCATGCTTGGGAATCGCTTGGGATGGTGCTAGGGGCCCTAGGCCAGAAGTGCCCCAGGGCTGTGCTAAAGATGCACGTGGCTGAGTTGCGGGCAGTGGCACTATGTGATTTACTGGTATAGCTGTGCCTTAGCTGACCACTCTTAAGGACGATGGGAACTTCCAGTGTGATTTCTTTCTCTGGTTGCATGCATTATGCAGTGTGGAGCAGAAGTGGATGGTAACGTGGCATTCCTGGCTCGGGATGAATCCCCAGTAGTGTTAATTATCTGTACAAGAGCAGCCTTGAGAGTCTTCTCTAACCTGGCTCATGCCAAGAGAACACTATTAGCTATAAAAGTTTTGCGGTTTCTAAGGCTACTATAATTGGAATTAGGAGAAAATCTAGTTTTAACAGGATAATACAAGCATGTTACTGGGCATGCACATCAATGTGATGGACAAGAAATATCTCAGTTCTTTGCAGACCTGTTCTTACTCTGTTTATCCAGAAAGCAGTAGCTCAAAACAGAATATTTATGTTAACCTCTGAGCTCTTTCATTCCAGACTGCTTGGTTGGTTAAGCTGGCCAGCCTCACTCACTTTGGTAAATCACTAGTTTCCTTTGATTAAATTACTCATTGTTTTAGTGGAGCTCCATTGCAGATGTGCCTGAGTGTCTTCCAGAGGGTACAGTTGGAGACCGATTCTAGGGAGTGAGAGATGATTAAAAGCTCTCATCCCTTGAGTACTATTAGCCAGCCAGCGTAAGGTCATATTTTAAAGATGCTCTTGGTTAAACGTGACAGTGTGTGGTTGTGGCATGGGGAGCCCTTGGTAGGTTTGCCAGATGCCTTGTACCGAAACAGATCTTCTACGGTGGTGGCGGGAGACTTGAGAATTAGCTTGGGGCACAGAGGCACCGCAGGACTGTGGCTGGAGCCTGTTCAGTGTCTCATTGTCTTTGACATCACCGGTGCGTCCTGGTGCCGTAATTGAAAGGACGTTAACTCTTTGTGTGAGGTCTGTGTTAGCGCTGCCAGATCCCTAGTCAAGGCAGGGCTACGTCACTGAAGTCATACATCCCTATGGAGGGAATTTCTCCTGTGAAGAGAGAACGATCTCTCCTCATGTTGCCTGCCTGGTCAAGCATCTGCCAGTTGGCTTTCCCCAGAATTGTGGTGGAACTATTTCTGATTTCGGTTAAGAAGGCTTTGTACCTGTCTTCCCTGCTGGCTTTTCTCATCTCGAATTTCTTTGCAAGCTCTGCAGATTCACTTACACTTACAGGCATTCACTTATGCTCCTGCGGATTGTGGGTCATTGTCCTCATCTGCGGTAGCTGAGGTGATGTCAGTCCAGCAGGTGAAGAACTGGCCCTTATGTGGACACCTCAGCACTAAGAATTTTTCACACCCTTTTAGTCCAAGTGTATTCCATAGATCAGTGTGACTTCTGATTGAGCAGAGCTCTTCAAGCGCACTTGGTCTTGCAAGTTTTCCCTGTTTTGTCTTTCCCTGCCTGGAATCATTGGTCCCCAACGGCACAGGGAGAGGCTTTACGCTGTGATACAAACAGGCATGCGTGCGCTTTGCGCGTAGGCAGTCTGCCTGCCCAGTTCCAGCCAGGACCATCTGACATCTGTATTGGGCTACAGGGACCAATCAAACAGAAATGAAAAATGTCAGTCGTCTTAGCAGAGTGAGTACAAGTACTGCTAAGGAGGCTACGGAAATGGCTTTAAACAAAGAGCAAAGTGACTCATATCTCAGCGTTCTGGATGGTGTGGTGTGATGGGTTTTTTCTTCTTTTAAAGTGTTTAATGGTGCATCTGAGAATGGATTGATCAAGCCGGTGCACACAAATGGTGCCACTAAATGCAGAATAGGAACAATGTATACGTAAGGGCCCCCATGCACAGTTTGCACATCAAATTACTTGAGCAAAGTGTGCATCGGGATAGTGCCAGTGCCTGGTAGTGGGTATCACTGTAGTTACGTTTTGTTAAATTATTAAACATGAATTGATTTGCATTAGAAAGAAACTGAAATCATAGGAGAAAGTAAGCATAAATGATATATTGGAGTTATTCCTTACATTTTCATGCTTTCACTCAGATGAAAGATTGATATATATCCCTTGCTAGATATAGAAATAATTGTTTCTGTTCTCCCATCAATAATGTGTTATTTTTAGAGGCTGCCTATGAAGGATTTTCATATCTACAAAATGGATATAAATGCTGAAGTTTTTAAACTTAACCAACTGCATTAAAAGTATCCAGACAAAAAGGACTTGTTTGACATTTACCTTACAAGTTAGAGGGTTATTAGGAATAAAGAAATACAAGAAGATTTGTAACTGTGTCCTGGTTATAGCCTTGAGATTATACCCTCCTTTATCACTTTTACAGGGGGCAGGGTTTCTCCAAAATTAAAATACCACAGATAAAACGGGTTTTTTCTGTAATGAGGTGGTACGCTCTTTCTATGTGACCACAAACAGATAATTACTTCCCTTACAATGGGATACTGAGGGTCGCTTAATGAAAGTTTGTAAAGGACTTTGACAGAACTAATTGCATGGAAGGTGTTTTAACATTGTAATTTAATAGTTGTCCTTTTCTTCTGCAGTGCCCGGAGAATACGTGCCCTGCTCCGATTTCCAAACCTGTGAGCCAATGGATTGCTCTGAGAATGGGAAGTTTTGTACTCAAACAGGCTCCCAGCAGCACAGGGACAGGTAAAGAAAGCCCACATTTTTCCTGTTCTGTGTTTAAAAATGTTTAAAGAGAACATTGTGTTAGACAAAAGCATTGCTGGGAGTAGAATGAAATCCTCAGAGCATAGCTACTGTGGCACGGCTGAAGCAGAGCTCCCTGCGCAGCTCTGCCGGTGACCTTCCTGTTACGCTTCAGGCTCCCATGCGTGACGGAGGAAAGCTCCCCTCTAGAGCTCCGTCTTCATTTCTCTTCCCAGCCTGCGGAAGTGCTGGTTGTGTGCTTGGTGCCTCAGTTCCTCCTCCTGCAGATACAGATGATGTCTTAACTTCCTGTAGGGTTGTAAAAAGGCAAAGTTAAAAACCTTCTCGAGCTGCTCTGGTAGTGAGAGCTGTGGCAGTACTTTGGAGTGCTTTTAAAAGATATATATCTGGCAAATCCTGCAATCATGATCCACTTCTTTAGGTTCTCAGCCCAGACATCCTCATTCCTCCGAAGATGTACAGAGACACTGGGAATACTGCAGAAGTATTGTTGCACTTTTAATTTGATTTTGTTTTCAATTTTGGATGTTTAGTGATACCAGAGACATTCCAGATGATTGCAGAAACAGGGAAAATGCTAGAAATTTTAATACCAGCAGTGGCTGTCAGGTGAATGAGGCGGAGAGACCTGTCAAACGTCTCCGAAGGAAGAGAAGACTGCTTCTGGAGTCTGACGATGACGAGGAAAATGCAGATGAGGATGAGGTAAATGAGGCTGCATGTATTTTCTTTAAAGAGAACTGTGAAGAGCAGGGACCATTCTGTGTGTCAGATTTCACTGTGCAATGCAAACTGAACTGGGGGAGGTTGTTCTGTACCCATGAGAATGGTCTGGGTCTGATCCTGGTTTACATCAGTAAGGAGAATATCTGTTCTGAAGTCTGAGGAGTCATAAGGGTGAATAGCTCGTGTGAAGTCCAGGGCAGGATTTCAGACTGTATCTTCATGGGAGTAGTAACCCTGCGCACCAAGTGTGTTTCACGGTAGTAAAAACACATGCCTCTAAAAATACTATATCTAACTGCAGTCAAGTACTATTATGTGATATTGAAGATTATTGTCAAGCTGCAGAGTTTGATTGCTTTTTATTAGGTACTTGCACTACACTACTAGAAACCTGTAGTAATGGCAGATGAATAGAAGTACCTCAGTCCTGACATGATCTTTTCTTAACTGTCATTAAGCATCTTACTCCCATTAGGGGCCCTTCTTTGTGCACGCCTGCACTCTGCTACCGTGTGCATAGCATCTCAGGCCTGAACCAGTTTATGTATATGCACGTGTTGCAAGTGCTTTTATAATGCAGAGACGCTGGGGTGCGTGTTTGTTAGTAGGGCAAGCTGAAACTTCTGATGCCATGAACAGTTTTACTCATCTTGTTGCTCAGCTTTTCTCTGTGGTGTGTATAAGATGTTGTTAAGTACATATGGTTTCAGAAGTACTTGCCTTCTTTCTTGTCCTCCTTCTCATTTGAAACTGCCCCCCTGTCTCTTCTGGGGCATGTCCGACAGGCAGCTTTGCATTTCAGATATTGCCCTTTTTTGTTTGCTTTGAGAAATGACAACCCTGGGTGAATTAACAGGAGTTTGAAAACCACGTAGAAGAAATGTGAATGGCAGTCTGGCTCGGAGTGTGGCACAGGGAGGCCCCATTTTCTGGGGTGTTCATCTGTGACAGTAGTTACTTGAGGCTTCCTCCAGGGCTTCATAAATTTATTAAATTTTTTTTCTGTATCCATTCTCTGGCGTAGATGGACATAGAACATCTGAAAGGAAAAGGGAAGTGGAGCTTTACAGTAGGGTTTCTTATGTGAGCAGTAAATCCTGCATTGCAGAAAGCAAATCCTGTGTGTTGTAATGGAGGTTTTGGGCCCATGTTGCTCTTCAGTAGCCGTATTTAAATGAACTTTAGTAGCATATATTAAATAATTTTTAAAGCACTTTGGGATACTGCAGGATCAAAGTTCTATATGTAACATACCCTACTAAGGTTCTTGCAGGGTTATTCAAAAGAAAATAATGCTAGCTAATAGTCCTGTTAGTTACATGTTACATCCTTATTGTACCTGCATTGTGAGATGATCAAAGAGAGAGGAAAAAACAATATTGCTAAACTTTTTTTTAACATATCTGTGTCTAGGAGAAGAATAAATCAAATAATATGAAAAGCCGCAGAAACACTAAACCAATAAAACAAGGTGAGCTAAGCTCATAGTCTCTTTTCTTTAATGTTTATAGATTTTTTTACTAGCTATTATAAAATGAATCATAGTAAACAGAAGAGGAAAGGACAGTAGAGCTCATTTCACATTCAGAAGAGCTTATTAGGTACATAACCCTCTTACCACAGTCAGTCTTCTGAAATGTATTAGCAAGAATATAGTAGATTTGCCTGCATGGTGGGCACAGTGTAGAGGATCTACAAGGAGACAGCCTGATCCAAAGCTCACTGAAGTCAGTAAGAGTATTTTTTCCATTGACTTTGGAGAGCTGCATAGCCACAGACTACAAATGCTAAATAGAAAATAAGATGTAAACAACATGCGATTGATTATAGACTTCGGGTTAAATGTATTATATATCTTAAAGGAGTTAACATATGTAAACTGGGGGGAGACTTTTAATATGTGTTTAAAACATAATTTTCTATGTGCATGACTGTGGTCCTGCTAGAATGAATCCAAGCACCTGCCCAAGTTGTTCTCATCATCTGTGTACTGGTGGCTGCCTCTCTAGTAGATGCATTGTGGTATTAGCAGATTATAAATATATGTGTGTGTAAATACATTAAAAAACCACTTGTGAACTGAACAAAAATTCACTTGGTTTTTCATTTGTTTTCTTTTAGGTTTATTTCAGCTTCAATTATATGCTGTTTGTGCTGTCTTTTAGTTTATATCTAACCCCTTATTCCTCGGTGAAATATCAGGAGAAGGATTTCTTTTCCACGATTTTAAGTTATGATATCTTGTCCAAACTTTGCAGTGGCAGCTTTCCATGGGCAGCTTGCCAGCAATCCGGGTGCCACAATTCATTTGACCTGTAATATAATAAATTTTTTTTTTATGAGAAATGAGCATGGTTTTTCTACCGTTGGAATTCATACCTTTCCTTAAAAGTTGGGTAACACTGCCTCCTTTGGGGTACAACAGCAAAACAGCATTGGCGTGTACGTGGGAAGAGAGAGTAGAGTGGGAAGCATCTGAGAGAAACATTCATTTTTCTCTTTGCTTTTAATTGCTTAGTTGTTCCTGGAAAGAAGAAGAAGGGATGGAACTGGGTTTCCTACTTAGAAGAGGAACAGATGCCAGCTGCTCCCCTAAAACTGTTCAGAGAGGTTGGCAGCTTTTTCAGCTCTTTTGCTATGGTTTTCTCGGGCAACATCATAGAATTACTAACTCAGTGGAGGTCGGGTTGGAGACTACCCTTAAACCAGCAGTTACATTTATGAGTTGTTTCAGGCAAGCAGGCAGTAAAACCCCCACATGTTTGTTTCCAGCCCTGAAGCACTGTGAAAACAAGCATCTGCCCTGTGAGTCTCATCCCAGACCAGGGTGTAAAAAATGCTGGTTGAATCTCTCTTACAATTAAACAATGACTGTTTCGATCTGCTTTGGGTAGCTCTGGATAAATGGGCTGTTAGACAAGCTCCAAGTAGCTTTGGAGTGGGACAGCTTAATGTCTTTCATACGTCCTATGCTTCCTCTGTGGTTGTACAACACCCCTCCCAGCCTTCCTCCGTAGAGAACTGCAAGTCGTTTAGCTCTGTGAGTGTAGTGGATGGCCTCAGTGAGAAGTGACTGTTACGAGGGAGGGTGGAAGTTGTGTTCATTCATAGTCTGATGCATTGAAGGTGGGAGAGCATGAGTTTAGCCTTGGTGAAGCTGCTTCTGCACTGCAGCACACCAGCCCACTTTAAGAGTTCAGCTCTCAGTGAGCTCCAAAAAGCCACGGGCTGTTGGCACCTTACAGAGTGAGATGAGAAGGCAAGTCGGGTAACTGCAGCGGATGCAATAAGCCATTTGTAGTTCCGGTTCAGATTTCTTTAAAGCCTTTACTATGCTTCATATGTTTAATTTGGATTAAGACTGCAAATAAATGAAAACCACAAATGTTTTCTGGAGCGACTGTGACAGTGGGCTCCAGATCCAACGTGCTTTGTCCATTTTGCCATTTGAAGATGACAAGTTACTTTTTGGGAAGTCTGGACTGCTGACCTCATGCTGACACAGGCAAAATGATTTTCGCTTTCCTGGCTCTTTGTTTCTGCCAGCCCTCCTACATTGGGCTATGAAGGGGATTCGTTTGTGTTTGAATAGACATCATTACTGCATCTGCTGAAAAATTTGTTCATAGCTAATTGCAACAGGCTCGTGGTTCAGTGTTTTTGAGAGATTAATTAGAGTAAGAAGTAAATCTGAAATGTGGTGATCATACCATGAGTGATCTCTGTACCTGCTCCTGTCTATTAAGGCAGCAGTCATTTAGTGATAGAATTTTCTTCTCTGAGTTGAGATTTTGAAGCCTTAAGTATATCTGATGACTGCTCTGCAATAGATTTTGTGTTTAGGAATTAAAAACAAATGTTTCCTTCTTTCCCCGTCACAGTATCAGTCATTTCCTCAAGGCCGAAATGGATTTAAAGTTGGAATGAAATTGGAAGGGCTGGATCCTGAACATCCCTCTCGATTTTGTGTTCTCACAGTGGCTGAGGTAGTTGCTTTTCCTATATTTGATTCCAAAAGTCTCATGTGCATTTAGGATTTTTTTCAGTGAAATGTAGAAACATAAGAATAATAGTACTTTAATTAATTAATCATTAGGAGGAGTTCAAGGTGGCACTGAAGGAATAGTGTTATGTGATTAAGGATCTAAACCCAAAATCCTACTGTCAGATTTTTGCAGTTTTAACTCAGAATGGAAAACCTATTAGTTGCATGCAATGAACAAATATGAAAACGAACAATTCAGTTAGGCCCTAAGACTTAGTAAATATAGGCGAGTCAAAATGCTTTTATGCTTCTGCAGGATCTGTGTTGATCTGGTATAGACATAAAAGTTCTCAGGCTGCGTTTGTACGCCAGATATTGCCACACAGGAATATGTGTGTGAGTATGCAATAGGAGGCCTCTGAAGTTACACTGACCAGTTTTATTTTCTACTGTTTGAAATGAGGAAAGAGGAGCGTGGAAACTGGAAGACTTAAGTGAGGAAAAATGAAACTAGACTTTTGAGAAATCAAGGAGATCTTAAATTTACTTTAATCTATAAATCCAAATATGGAAGGAGTGTTTGATTAGTGTTTAACTTCTTTATGATTCTTTATGATAATCAGAACTCCCCTCGTTATAGGTACAAGGGTACAGAATGCGGTTACACTTTGATGGTTATCCTGAGTGCTATGACTTCTGGGTTAATGCTGATTCCTCAGACATCCATCCTGTTGGCTGGTGTGAAAAAACAAGTCATAAGCTGCTCCCTCCTAAAGGTATGAAAAAAAAAAAATAGAATGGCATACAAGAAACCATAAATTCTGCTAAGAACTAGTTGTCCTGGCTCTGCATGTTTCATTTTCAGTGTGATTTCATTGTGGAACTTGATCTGAGTGGCTTAAGGGGAAGAGGTGTAACTAAGACAGTGAATCACAAAAGAACAAAACAGCTTCCTTTTGATATTCCCAAAGATTGATGTCGTTAGTGAAATTAGAAACTCTTTATTGGATGAGCATGTAAAGCAAGGAGTCTCTTTGGAGTGCAGATCTTGCTGCTTTCCTGCATTCAATTTGCTATAAACATTTGAAGGTTGAGATTAATGATTGAACGTTTTACTGAAAAAGAGAGAGATGTTTTAGCTGAAATGCATAACCCCTGAAGATTGTAGAAGGGCAGTTAACATGCAAAGTTCATATTCTTCCCAGGTAATTTCCATTTCTGAAAAACCAATCTGAATGTAACGGGGCTGCGTAAAACAGTCTTTTTATCTCTCTTCCTAGGTTTCAAGGAGGGAGAATTTAATTGGACTTCCTATTTGAAGAATTGCAAAGCTCAAGCAGCTCCAAAAAGCCTTTTCAAGACCCTCAGCACTGTAAGTGGTGGTGTTGAATACAAGATGTTTCACATAGGTCTGGTGCTAAGTGAGTTTTGACCAGAATATTTTGCGTGGTTTTAATATGCTCATGTCAGAGGTACAACCATGGTACAATCAGATGCAAGCTATTTTCTGCTGTGATTTATTTTTAAGATGGGAAACTAGTACAATTTTTCTTCCTTCCCTCAGTCACTGACTTTCCAGAGGGACAATTTGTATTTCCCCTCCTCCTTAATACTAGTGGAGAAGATTTACTCTACCATTTATTAAATATATTACAATGGTCTGTTTTGCTGTGTCCCTACAGTCAAGATATTTGTGTCACTTTCCTCTAATTTAATGATTTCCAAAATAATTTCTGGTTTCCAGCAGCATACTCATGTGCGCCATGGGATTCATTATGAGGCTATGGATCTTGAGCATTTTTCATGCTTCACCTGCTGTTGCTTTCGTTTTGGTTGTTAGCCTCGGTTCCTGTATAACACTCACTCCCGTTTTGTGTCATTCAGATGATACAAAGTCCACGGTCTGGCGGATTTGACGCCACAGATGGGCAGAGCACTGACTTCAGTAGGATCAGGGCCTAAGGCTGCAGCTCTGCTCTGCTTCCCAGTCACCTGTTTTCCCTGAAGACTCTAACTTTTCCACTAATAAGACAGGACCTGCCATGCTCACGCTTACCCTTAGCCAGTACTCAGCACTGGAAGGCGTGTGCATCTTAGCCTTTGCATCTGTAGTGGTGGTGTGTACCTGCAGATTCTGTTATTCGAGCTACATCAGCTCTTTTTTAGAAACAGTAACAATCTTTGCCAGAACACATGGAAATCTTGTCTGTAGACCTCTTGCTAGTAACTATAGTGTGTTTTGGTCTGTGGGTTTTAGGATTACAACCTGGAATGAGTTTATAAGGGTAATTTAAATGGCCTGAGTGAGAACGTGACTCATTTCCCTTTCTTGATGTCCTGTTCCCTCAGCCTGTCACACCCTCTGGTTTTCGTCTGGGAATGAAACTAGAGGCAGTGGACAAGAAGAATCCGTCGCTGATGTGTGTTGCAACCATCAGAGACATGGTGGATAACCGCCTGCTAATTCATTTCGATAACTGGGATGAGAGTTATGACTACTGGTAAAGAGATTCTATTTCTAATGTATATCTGCAAGTAGACTGTGGTTTATTTTGCTCTTCCACCAAGGGTAATATCTAGTATTTTAAATGTAGTCCCCGAAGGTGGGATCTTAAATCTGTTTTCAAGCATCTAGATAGTTACTTTGGGTTTTTACAAAGTGCCAGTTGCCCAGTAGCTTTCTCTGCTGCGTAAGTGCTGCTTGTGAGTTGGCTCACTGCAAAACCAGCGAGCTGAGCTTGAGCTGCCTGTGAAGCATTCGAGGTAAGGAAGCACTTGAGGTAATGCAGCTGACTGACGTGGGTCAGGTCAGGGAATGTTCTTGTTATCCCTTCCTCTGGCAGAGCTAAAGGAAGAGTAAGCTCCAGTAGTGACACCACCTGGAGCTAGTGACATGCTCTCCTCCAGGACTAGCAGTGGGTTTTGGCATGTCTCTCTGCAAACTTACATTTGGAAGCAGGCAGTACTGAAGTTGGTAAAAATCTTTTCCATGTGCTTCAGCAGAGTTTGGCTAAGGCCTTTTGAAAATAAAAATGATTACCAACATTTAGGCTTTTAAGTCCTGACCTACACTACAGTTGTTCTGCGTCTGACAGTCTTGGTCCCCTGCTCTCATGGTGGAATAGTAGTCAGAGAAATATTTTGCCTCTTCGGTCCATGTTTTCCAACCTACATGAATGGTGTAACTTTCTTTGACTCTGTCTGTGAAAGCAGCACAAGGCACTTGCTTAGCAGAATAGCACTGATTCGATCTGTGGTCTCTCCTGCATCTCTCTTTGTTTGTTTTGGTTTTTCTCCAGAACAGGCACCTGTTTGGTGGCAAGTTGGTCTTTTCTTTCTTTGCCATAAATATGTCTTGCAGAGCTTTGGAACACTGGAGTTTCCATTTGCAGGACTTTATATCTCATTTAGATCTCGTTCCTTTACCATTTTAGCCCATGAAGCTTTGTTTTCATGCCATGTTTTGTTTGGAACTTGAAAATTTTAATGGGAAACACAAACAAACAAAGCTTCAAAGTAGAGCTTGGCTGAAAACACACAGGTTTTTTTCTAGAACTGAATGACTGCGTTGGTCCCGTCCTCGGAGCAGAAGTGACAAAAGGGGCTGTCACAAATTGGCCCACTGCCTCCTTCAGGGACCCAGAAGATCTAAACATGCAATAAAATTGGAAGCCAGGCAAACTACCACTGGGTTTCAGCTAGAATGAATGGATAACGTGCAGCTCTTGGCAAAGACCTTAAATCTGCTTCCCCCTTCTTCCACGGCGATGGTGTTTCAGTTAGGGATGAGGGTTTGGTTTTCTGTTTGTTTGCTTCCTTTGCATTTTAGCTTGGATGATTGTAGATATTTTTTTTTAAAGCACCAGATACGCTTCTTTCTATTTCTCTGTCTTTTGGGGCAGCTTGAATGCCTTGAAAACTTGGCGTTATAAATTCTAACGAGGTAATGCTTGTCTTTTACACCATGATCACACCCACTGAAAGCATCTGCTAACCCAGCGGAGGCATATCAGACAGCATTTGAAATTCTGCTTTTCTTTTTGCTTTAAAATTGACTGATGCCAACTTTCCCTCGTTGATTCAGGTGTGAAGCTAGCAGCCCATATATTCGTCCTGTTGGCTACTGCCAAGAAACCGGAACCCCACTGACAACACCACCTGGTATGTTGAAAGGGAGACTTATTTCCTGCCTCAGTGAAAAAAACCTGCAAACTTTATCTTCCACTTAATTACATATTTGCAAGTTACAGGTTCCATTTGGTACTCTTTTCTCTAATGACGGAACAATATTATTGTTCATACTTTTTGCCACTGCATTTTATTTTTTTTTTGTAACTCTTTCAAAAAATGGAACAGGGTTGGACAATTTATAGTTGAATTAGATTTCAGAAGGGAAAGGACTTTGAAATATTTGCAGCATATCCTGTAAGGTGAGCTGGAAGAAAGAGGAATCAGTATCATGATTTCATAGATGAAAAGATGGAATTTCTGGAAATCAAGGAGTAACTGAAGCCACATCTCTCTGCTGCTGCACCAGAATTCTTAGTAAATGAAGAGAATGTTGGCAAATGATAAAGGACAGAACCTGCAGGAAAATCAATGTTGTTTTCAGGCTTGGAAGTGCTCATTCACCTTAAAAATAACAAAAATCAAAAAATTATGTCTGCTGTTTGCTATATTGACAGCCCTGGAGCAACGGTTTCTGTAGTTACTGCGTATCGAGTTTAGTAGAGTGGGTGGCATTACAAGATCCCTCTGCATTGGAGTAATTGGCCTCTGTGCCTTTGCTGCAGATGCAAAAGAGATTGTAAACACTTACTCTTCAGCAGCACCACATCTGTTCTTGCTCCTGGAACGTGCAACAAGGCTGTGACGTGCAGTTCCCCTACTCACATCACGATTGCCTGTGCCCCCAGCAGAATCTGCAGTCAATTCTGATTTCTCTGCTGAGAGATTTACGTGCAGCAATTTGCTGACTGTCCTGTGCATTTAGTCATTGCACCCTCCTGCCAAAAGGAAACAATACTGAGGTTAAAAAATACTGAAATAGGAAGGGGAAAAAAAAAAAAATAGAGCAGTTTCTTAAATGTAGCTGCCAGGGAGAGACATCCCGTTGTTGTTAGAGTAGCATGCCCATGTAGGTGCCTGAGGTTATGCTAACGGCGATGGAGCCTTTTATCTCCAGGATGCTAGTTTTACTCAGCTATGGGTGAGTAGGTCACAGGAGACAAGAAGTTTCTACAGTCTTGGGGGCACTCACACGTAGATTACTATAGGAAATTAATTTAGTGATTCCATTGTGCATCACAGAATCCTCTCACTGGCTCTTAATTGGCACATTTCTCTAGAGAAGAAGAATTGATTAAGCTGTACAGAAGTCAGCTCTTCAGGTTTTTCAGGTCAGGGTTAAAGCCCTGTGTAGAAGCTCGGGAAACTTGCGGTGCTGCTGTGTGTGCTGTAAGTGGTGTGTATGAATAAACAGACCACTTTCCAGCACCATCCGTTGTTAAGTGCTGGATTAACATAACAGTCATGTGGCTGCTTTTCTGTTGTTGGTAACAATAAGTGTGGGTTTTTCCTACTTAAATGTTAATTCTCTGTTTTTTTCTCAGGATGCAAGGATTCCAAAGCCTTCTCATGGGAGAAATACTTGGAGGAAACTAATTCCCAGGCAGCCCCAGCAAGAGCGTTCAAACTGGTTGGTGAATCTCTTTGATTGTCCTAGACGAGGGGGGTAGGGGAAATTGCTGTTACCTACCCTTTCTTGCTAGATGCTTTGTTTGGTGGTGGTTCACCATGTCTGTGCCAGGAGGGTGAAACTGGGTTTTTTATGTTGAGCCTGAATTTAAGATCATCTCTCACTGCTGCTAAAACAAAACACACAGCAGTCTACAAGATTTTTTTTTTTATTAAGTACCATGAAAAGCTGTCTTGGAAAGGATTTTTGACTTAATGTCTTCAATTGCTCCATTAGCAGATTGAAGGGAAGAGCCTTCAGTCCACACAGATAATTGCAGTTTTCAGAGAAATGTGTAAGGGCAGGACCTTGCCTCACAGAGGGCATGGAATGGAGAAAGAGCTGGTGGTCTGCTTGAGGTCTGACTGCGTGAGCAGAGGAGATCTCCCGCGTGACATCTGAGCAGGACTGATGCTGGCTGAACAGACTTTACAGACTCTCCCTTGATGGGAGTCAGAAGTGGATGTCACTGGCCTGCAACTGGGAATGTGTTTGGTGGGGAAGGGAGGAAGGAGTGGGGTGTGTAGACAAGGAACTACTGGAGAGAGTCCAGCGGAGGGCTACAGGGGTGATGAGGGGACTGAAGCATCTCTCCTGCGAGGAAAGGCTGAGGGAGCTGGGCTTGTTCAGCCTGGAGAAGAGAAGACTGGGAGAGGATCTTATAAGTGCTGGAAAGTATCTGCAGGGTGGGTGTCAGTAGGATGGGGCCAGACTCTTTCCAGTGGTGCCCAGCGACAGGACAAGGGGCACCGGGCACAAAGTGAAGCAAAGGAAGTTCCACCTGAACCCGAGGAAGAACTTCTTCCCTCTGAGGGTGACGGAGCCCTGGCCCAGGCTGCCCAGGGAGGCTGCGGAGTCTCCTTCTCTGGAGATATCCAGGACCCGCCTGGCCGCGGTGCTGTGCAGCCTGCTCTGGGTGACCCTGCTTGGGCAGGGGGTTGGGCTGGGTGATCCCCAGAGGTCCCTTCCAACCCCTGCCATCCTGTGATCCTGTGATTCTTTGGTTCTGTGATTCCGTGTGTGTGTTTGGGGAGGAATGAGAAGCATGCAGTTCCTCCTCTGCATGAAGTTTTAAAAACTTCTCTAAAATATTTTCATCTTGCAGTTGTGCACATCCGTATTGCCCTGGTTGGTCAGGCTGTGATTAAGGTAGAGTGAGAAGTTCCTGTCAAGGATTTGCATATTCTAATACAGATCTTGGTTTTAGGGAGGAGCCAGCTGTGCCCTCCACAGAAATCAGCGTACTAACAGATGATGGAACATCTCTGCCAGACTCCTGGAGGGAGTAAGATCATCCTGCAGACCAAATCTGAAGATGGTTCTCGCAACCTTGGGAGCATGAGCTTCTGTTTCTTACATTGGAGTTCAGTGCATTTATCTGGAAGCTCACTGTGAGCAGAAACAAAACAAAAGCCTTTAAAATAACTTCATAAAAAAACCAGAGTACCTTAAAGTTGGTGATTTTTTTCTTAGCAGCTTCTTCCACATTGCTGGCTCACGTTGCTAAACTTTGCAGTATGTTTAAAAACTTCTCTGTGCCATTGTGACACTTGACTTGATTCCTTTCGATGAAGTTTGAGTTGCAGGTTAATACCTGCTGCCCTCCCGTGTATTTTGTTGGCGAGCTCTTTGGGACTGAGGAGGAAAAGCAATCAGGGAGGCCTCAGATAAGGGAGGTGAAAGTCCAGCCAGACAAGTTTGATAATTGCTAGATTTCTGCAGATGTCCAGTTGAAGTTGTTGTAGGTTGCAAGGTGGGTGTCAGGGGATAGGAAGAGGCTGGTTTTGCCTGCGCAGAGAACTGTAAGGCCATGGCTGGAGTTATCAGCAGCACAGTTGAAGTCCAAAACATCCCTTGGATTAAGGTTTTTCCAGAGCTGGGCAGACAGCATCTTCGATCATGTGGTGCAGCATCTGAAGCACCTCGGAGCCAGTGTGCAGGCTAAGGAGTGAAGCTTGTCAGTAGGACGCATTCGTTGCCCCCAGGGTAGGCTCAGCCTTTTTCTGAGCCCTGCTTGTAAAATCCCAGCAGTGCTAGAAAACAAGAGCCTTCAGAATACAAGAGTGAAAGAATGCAGCAATTGGCCTTCTACACAATAGAGGAACACAGAAGTAGTTTTGTAGAGGCAAATATTTTGGAAAGATAATAAAACTCTTCATGATAGAAAAAGAAACAGTGGACTGCGAGACTCCCCATCTGAAGTCCTCAGTAATCTGTCATTACAGCATGCTTTCCACAGATTTTCAGAATATAAAATGTTTCGAGAAATGTCACCCGAAGATAACAGGGCTTTGCTCAGGACAGGGAGTCTTTTCAGTACCGACTACTCCCTTTTTTGGATTCTTCCCCAGTGAAATGTCTTCCCAAGGGGGAACGCAACTGCCTGGTCTGCCTTTTTTACTGTGTTATGTACATCTCTGCAGCCATTGTTCTGCTCCTTCAGGTATCTGGCTTTGAGAGAATAGCAGAAGGGCCAATTCTGGCTCTCGTGAAACTCCAGAATATGAATTAGCATCCAAGACTGTGTTTCGAAAATGAGACAGAAAGAAAAAAGGCATTTGATATATCAACCGTTAATAGAACTCTTTTAAGGTCAAACCTCGTTATTTTTCTGGCTTGGTTGGTCTGAAGTGCAAATACATGGCAGAGTTATTGATTTTTTAATTATTATTATTATTATTCCAGCTAGCAATTACAGGAAATCAGTACATAAAAATATGGGTTGAGAGCCAGAACAGGCATTTCTCACTGAATTAGTTTTTAACAGTTTTCAAGAGCTGTCTTATGTAGTCTGGAGACACCGATGATCAGCACAAATAGCAGACCTTGTGTCTGGGTGGATTTCTGCCTTCTCCTCCACCCAAAAACGCAGGAGGAGACAGCTTGGTGGTCAGTATCACTATTTCAGTCCGTTGTCTTGGGCTGTCAGTTCAAAAACATTTATAAGGTATCGCCGAAAAGGCAGCAATCCTTCAGCAAGACTTAAACAAATAGCCCTGCTCATCTTCTGGGCAGGAGTTAGTTCTTGGGCTCCTTCCTCAAGGAAGATGGGCAAGGTTGGCTGGTTCAATAAGATGCTCTTAAAACTAAAGGCAGTTTAGATTGTCTGCTTCCGGTGTGTTGAGTGGCTGAAAGCCTGTGGCTAAATGTCTGCGTTCAGATGGAAAGACCAAGGAGAAACCTGAGGTGTGAAGTCTGTAATCCCCTTAGCTCTGAAGTGGGGCTTCATCCCCATCCCCAGCTGCTGGCAGTAAAAAGGATAAGGCAGATTGTGAGGAAGGGTGATTATAGTCATTGTTTCATTAACCTGGTCTTGTTCAAAGACACAGTTTATCATCTTTTGTGAAAATCTTGACCTTTGTGTGCAGAAGTGAAAAGGACGTGTTTTGAACGAGTATCCAGTGCTCCATAACCCCCAGCTGAGGAGGTCAGAGGAGGAATTTGCAGTCAGTCACTCAAACATAAAAGGAAAAATTGGTAAACACTGTCTGTTACTTAAAGGTTTACATCTGTGATTGCTGTGAAGGGCATGCCTCAGGTCAGAGGACATTCTGGATTTTTTACAGAGTAGTTTGAGTGCTGGGGTTTGAGAGAAAGGGCAAGTCAGCAACTGCAGGTGGGAGACTCCTGCAGCTGGAGCTGCTCTTGTGTCCCAGCCCTGCAGCTGTCAGCAGTCATCGTTAAGAAGCAGATGCAGTTGTTGTCCTAAGAAGTAGATGGTAACCTGCTTGGTGAAGGTAACTCTGCAATATCCAGATGCCGAGAAGGATGTCACGTAGTGTAGTGAAGAGACGTGTCACGCAGTGGTGTGTTTCAGGTGTGAGACAGTGGTGAGCAGGCCACTGTCCTTGTCAGATGTGAGATCATCCCTCTCCTGTGTGGGGGAGTTTTGCTGTCAGACTGCTGAGTCTCTGTGTTGGTGGAGTTTGTGTATCTGGCCTTTTTTCTGTTAGGGAAGTGCCTCTTGCTCTTGTGAATTGTGAAATTCTCCTCTGCACTGAGACAGCTCAGACTTCCTCGCGAGTAGTTTTGGGCTGGTGATAAACAGCCAGCTTAATCCTCTAGGTAACTCTGATTTCAACCTCCGAATCAGTCTGCTGTGTGAGATCAGGGGCCAAAGCTGCAAAGGCATTTGAATGGTTGATGAAAACTTCAGCGCATTTTATTCAGAGCAGATGACTAGCTCTGAGAGCGCCCAGACATTTTAGCATTCTGCTTACAATCCTCTCTTGCAGCGTTCTGCTCACGGATTCCAAGTTAATATGAAGTTAGAGGCTGTGGACAGAAGAAATCCCATCTTGATAAGAGTGGCAACAATAGTTGACAAAGACGACCATCGTATAAAGGTATGACCTTGTGTCACAGTGCAAAGCCGTTGTGCTGAGGAACATAGAGATTGGCAGTACAGAAAAAATACCCATTTGGTATGAGGAGCAGCAAACAAAGGCCTTGCAGATGATCTAGCCTGCAGGCCTGCCCAGCTGGAAGTTATTTCTGTTGTTTTGTCCTGATGAAATATGATGGAATTGCCTGGTATTGTTAGTTACTGTTTTAATGTAACTATTTTGAAATAACGTTTGACAGCGTGATTTTCCATCTCATAGCGGTTTCTGTGTGATCTGTGCAGGTGAAGGCAGCATTAATGTTCTGCTAGTGGGAAGCTACCTGACAGGTTTTTTTTTTCCTAGCATATTTAATGGAAAACCCAAAGCAAATTAAATCCTGGCGCATGCAGGAAGCAGCTTCATTCTCCAATATAAATTTGTTACATAAATGCACTTTAACTAATTCTTTTCACATTAGTGTATTGTCAGAAAAATCTGGTGTGCTTTGGCTTCTGAGATCAGCCAGCTAGAGTGGCGGCTGCTCTGGTGGAGGCTCCTCGGCCACAGGTCTCCTTCCCAAAGGATGATTATGTGGGCACGGGTAGAGTTCGCTGTTTATCAGCTGTTTGATTCTCAGTCTCATCGCTGTGATTGCAAGCAAAAGTCAAGTTCTGCCAACATACAGTAGCATGATACTCAGTTCACACATTCGTTTGAAACTTGGCCACATAGACAACCCAGTAGCCTTCAAACTGCAGTGATCCTTGGTCTGTGTTAACCTGACCTGGATCTGCGCTAACTATTACGAGTCCCTTTGTCCAGTAGAAAATTCAAGCTCATTCACTGCAAAACTCACCAAACTTGTTGGCTTTTATTGTGTTTTGGAATCCTCAGAAAACAAAACAGTTAAATAAGCAATTGTGTTTGCATAGATCTGGTCTTGGAGTATAGAGTGTGCTGGAACACCCTGTGGTCTGTGCTTTCTTGCAGGCCCTGTGGTTTGACTGTGTCACCAGAGTCTGGCTGTTCTGTAAAACATAGATTTAGGGGTCAGGAAAACAAATAGTTACACCGAGCACAAAGGACAATTGTGCTTGACTGAAAGATTGAATGAATCAGCCCCGAGCTGAGCAAGGTGAAACAAAGGGGGAAGTTAAAATAAAAGCTGAGTCATGTCCTTAACTGTATCTCTCACTGAGACTGTGTGCTTCTTTTAGATACATTTTGATGGCTGGGACCGTAATTATGATTTCTGGGTCGACGCAGACAGCCCTGATGTTCATCCAGTAGGCTGGTGTGGAAAAACTGGACATGCTTTACAAGTCCCTCTAGGTAAAGTAGACAACATCGTATTGTAGTGTTGAATAATTTTGCTAAGAGCAGCCTGCTCTTCAGATGCAGGGAGCATTTTACAAATCTGTATAACTTTTTTTTCTTGTTGCCAGGTGTTGTTGATCGAGTGGGAACAGTGGGACAAGCATGTCCTACTCCAGGCTGCCATGGTATCGGTCATGTCAGGGGACCACGATATGGAACACATTATACGTGTGTACATGAGATCTTGTGGGGGTTTTGCCTGTGAGAGTCTGACTGCTGTCCATAATGATAATGCAGCAACAAGTACCTGCACTGCACTGGAATGATCTCAGGGTGTTTATTCTGGAGATAGTTATAACTGCAATTGCAGCTCCCTCTTGTGTCTAAATGTGCTGTTTCATCATAAATTCTGTTTATACCAATATAATCATTACCACTGGAATGCAATGCAACATAGATTAATTCACTCCAGTTTCTACATTCCAGCATTACTGAAGGTATTTTTTGGTAAAATGATATACCCAGGAACAGCATGCAAGGAGACAGTTAAAGAGGGGAGAGAGCGTGCATAGGTTATTAAAGTGTAAGAGTGAGGAGAGAGAGTTCATGTTTTGTGCTCGGCCTTATGTGCTCTTGGAAAAGGCAGGTTTTTCATGATTAAACTATTTTAGAAAGCGAGAAAACAGTCTCACTTGGGAGATCTGAAGATCTAGTGGTATATAATGTGGTAAAGGGCTTTTAATTTTTGAGAGTGAAAGTTGCAGAACTCTCTTGTTTCATGAAATGCTGTTCAGACAAGCAGGTTACAGAGGAATAGCTCCTCTTGTTCTCTGAGGTGACTCTTTCTTTAAAAACATGAGTTTAGTTTCTGATTTTGCCATGTAGTCCCCTGCTTTCCTGCACCTAAAACTGGGCAATAGCATCTCCCAGAATGTTTTTGGCCTCACTTTTTCTGGGTTTGTTGATGGATATTTCCGCCTGAGGCTGGTAAGACTATGACTGAAGAACATGCGTCATCTTCTCTCTTTTTTTTTTTTCCTTTTTTCCCCATAACACAGGTTAGTTGGCTGCCCGTATTCGGATGTCAACCTCAACAGAGAAAGCTCGTTACAGGACCGCCTGAGCGGGGAGAGACCTTCCCCTAGCAATAGCATGCAGAAAGCCAAGAGGCTGGAGACTCCTGCCCCGTTTCTGCTGGGAGCAGGAGAGTCTTCTCAGGAGGACTCTCCACAATCCAGGTGAGCTGAACCCTTTTCTTGGGTGGGTGCTGGGGAGCAAAACCATTTTACAGGGCTGAAAAACACAGGAATTGGCAGTGAAGCACCAGAGCGTTGAGTTCGTCTGTCTGTAATACTGACCCATGCCCCAGACACTCTTAACACAGAGCAGTGCACTTTTATACCCTCGTATGCCTTAATAGGTTTCTTGATTCCTTAATCCTGCTGCTCTGGTCGCATTCCAACAAAGGAAATTACATTCTGTCTCCATAAATTTTTCCTTGCTGTTTCAATTTAAAATGTATTCTTTTCCTGCATTTCCTGTCCTAAAACTGTCAAACAAGGTTATTTTGCAGTATTAAACTGTAACTGCAATGCACCCCAGAGTTGGCTGCTTTACACTGGTAGTGTGATGACTGTATGTGTATCCTTTGGCAAACAAGCTGAGCTCCTTCAGATATTTTGTTTTCTTACATGGAAATCTTGGAATTGAGTGTCACTGAAGCAAACTGTGTATTACTTCTTGGACTGCAGGAGGCAGTTAAAATGTATCATGGAACAGGCCTGGACATGAAGGCTTTTGTTGTTGTTGTCAGCTTCTGTCTGTGTGAATCCAGTCTCACTAGGGCAAACTCCAGCAATACTTTTGGTCTTTGTTGTATATGAAGGCTTATATAAATTCTAAAGTTCATTTGTTTGCTTGGATTTATAACATTTTCAAGATACATTTGTCCAGAAAAAAGGAATACTTTTCTCCCCTCCCTTGCACACATGGCCAAAGTGTGCCTCCTTAATGTGCAGGCATCTCCATTTCCTAATTCTAACAACAGAACTGACTGCATTTCAATGGCACAGTTACCATAAAGCTCTCTCCGGAGCTCTGGGATTCTCCCAGAATAAATGGCATTGTAAAATTGTAATATATTTCTGTTCTTCTAAGTATTCCATTTCCTGGTAGTGGGAGGTCTGAATTCTGGGTGCAAATCTGACAACACCCTGCTGCTTGTCCTTCCTTGGGCGACTGTACCTCGGTTTATGCATCAAACTCAGTCATGGAGACTCTTAAATGTTATCTGGAGGTATCAGCAATATTAAATCTCTTGATTTTCACCGTAACACATGCTTCAGTGGGTTTCTTGTAGCTGCTGGGATCAGAGCCTCAGTCCACAGGGGCTGATTTATTTCACATAATCTCTCAATCCGCGCTGAAGAGTGAAAAAGCACTTTGTACTGTGCCGGGGATGATGGTGGGGGAGAGGAAAGCTGCTACCACTAGGTGGTAGGGGTTGCTCTCTCTTGCAGAGAGCAGCCAGCTTTGCTCTCCTGCGGGAAAAGGGAACAGAGGATGTCAGCTTAGCTACTATCATTTGTCTATCTTTCCAGAAAATCTGCGCAAGGCAGTGAAAAGTCGTGTCAAAGCAGTGTTCACAGTCTGTCGGAACAGTCTGAAAACAATCAAGAGAGAGACTGGGTAGAAGAGGATTCCTCTGCAGATATCAAAGCCAAACCAAAAAAGTAAAGAAGATTTTTGTGATGTATTTTCATGCATTAACAGTTGGGTTTCTTGATGCTGCTGCTATATCTGAAATGCAGATGCAAATCATAACTTAGAACGGCCCAATTTGATCAGAGATTTGCAGCATAGGGTTTTAGAATAACATGGTAATTCTCCCTTCCTCCTGTTATTTCGGGCCTTCTCTTTCCTGCAGTAAACTCAGATCTGAGTTCTGGCCATGAATTTAATAGCACAGTCCTTAGCTTAGAGAGGTCAGGGACGGAGCAGTGCTATTGCTTATTTTAAGAGGGAGAAGTTTTTGGTTCCTGTAAGTCCTATTAATTTCTGTATAGAGAAGAAATTATATCAGTTTCTGCACCTTTTGATATGTTTTGTAATTGATACTTTCAGGCTTAGGTACTCGCATGCCTACATAAAGTTCCAGCTGGTGAAACAGAAAGGCAATGGGAAAGGTTGGTTAAATTTTATTTCTTTTTCTATGTGTATCCATATATGTGCAATATAACATGGTCACAAGGAGCATTTCAAACTTCACAGCTTTTTTTGTCTTTGATTCCACAGTCAAGAGAAAGCACATGCTGGAGGTAATGGTAGTGGTGGTCTTTCTTCCTTTAAAATGAAGAGGAATGTAAAATTACGTAGAAGTGAAATGTTTAATACTTTGTTGAGTGAAGCCTCATATTTATTAACTGTAAGACAAGCTTGCACCATCTCTTGTGCCACTGCATGCTCTTCTGAAGTGGCAAGGGGTTGTTGTTCCCCAAACAGTCGGTGACCCTTGTGCTGACGGAGCCAGCAGCGGCGTCAAGGGAGAGTTGCTCAAAACCTGGCAGATAGTTTAAGTTCCTTCATCTTCTTTCTTTAGACTCCCCTGGGTATTCAGAACCATAATCTGAAATCATTTTGGGTGGTGACTTTTTTAAGGTTCTCCTAAGGATGGAAAAGAAACAAAAAAATTAAATGGAAAAACAATGCCTTTTTTTTTTCCTGGCACATGACAGGTTAAGTTTGAAGAGAAGCATTCTGATATCGCTTTAGCAAACCATATGCTTAACTTTCAGATTTACTATAAAAAGCCATTTCAGAGAACCAAGCTGACCAGGCTTTTAGGAGGATTTAACATGGTAATAAGTCTCCAATCAAAAATAGCTAAGCAGGCACAAACTGGGACAGGTGCCTAGCTTTTTTTTTTTTTTTAGTATTCGTTTTTACCTAGTGCTGACTTCTGCAGTCAGAGCTGGAGGAGTCTGCCAGCTACGAGCTGCAGTTGCAGCTGGCAGGGAAAGCTGCTCTCCCTTCACATTCACCTTAAACAGAATGATGGAAATCATTGGGGGGAAATTCTGCAATAATCCACTGACCTGTAATTTCGTGATTACTCAGAGCTTTCATCCCGTCTACATTTAAACTATTAGAACCCAGCTTCTTTCTCGAAGGGAAAGTAATTTGTTTAGATCGGGGTTTGGACGCTTACCCCTGAGGATTTGGGCTTAGTGAAGAAAAGGAGACAATCTGTGATAGAAGCAGTGCCCACTCAGCAAGGACGCAGCAGTGCGTAAAACCTTGGGCACGTGTAGGACCTCCTGCAGCGGGGAGGTGGGGGGCAAGGCCGGCTGCTGCCCGCGCTGCCGTGGAGGCGGGCAGGGAGGTGAGGAGTGAGTGGCAGCCCTGCCAGGAGCAGAGTCCTGTGCCCTGTTGTCGCCAGGAACATCAGCTCCTGAACTGAGCAGTTCTTACTCAGGCTGTATTTTTTAAAATCCTCCTTCTTTGGTCTCATTACTAGAAGTAGAGACCTGTATTTGATGGTGTCCCACATCCTTTAGCAGGTGGAGATGAGGAAAGGTGACACAGCTGAGGACAGGGCAGCAACCTTTTGCTAGATCAGGCTCTGTCTCCAGCGCTGCTTTTCACTTCGGCTGGTGAGGAGCAGGCAAATCATGGAAATTTGCTTTTTCTTTATAATGCTGTTTTCCTTTGTGCCTTGCATGTAGCGACTGGCGCACCCCACAGATCCTTACACACCATCCTACTAACAACCGTTTGTGCTAACACTGAGCAAACCCAGCGCAGCCGTAAGGCGCCGGGCACGCCGAACCTTTCTGAAGACAGGAGTAAAATGGGAATTTTGTATGGTTGCCACGGGATGGCACCTGGCAGCCTGCACACCCTGCACGCCCTGCACGCAGCCGGGCAGGGCGGGGGGCGAGGGGACAGCACAGGTTAACCGCTGTAAACCAGAGGAATGTTTCCCATCTTGTTTCCATCCTCTGCTTTGCTTCCTGTTGTATAACCAGGCAAGTCCCTGTAGGACCATGACTCTGCACTGCTCGAGTGATCTCATTAGGGAGGGGTGATTTCTTCCTTTTTTTGCCTTGGTTTCTAAAGCTTCTGTCACTTGACACATGAGGAGGGAGTTGATGTCTGGAGGTAACGCGCGGTGCTCCTGGCCTGGCAGTCTGCTGGGGAGGCGGCGAGCCCAGGCCATGGGCTGGCACACATCACGCTCCTCGTGGGCTGGCTACAGCTGTGAGCTGGAACGATGCCATTAGTTTCCAGCCGAAGATGCTGTTACCAGAACTCCTCCACCTTGTCAATAAAACGCTGCAAACATCTTCTCTGTTAGCAGCATGACATCATTTTCCAGGGAAAGAAGCTAACGATAAAGCCTCTAGCCTGGCAATCTTATCTTTTTTTTTCTTTCTCCTTCTCAGGAGGGTGGGAAGCTCGGCGTGCCACGCAGTAGCCATGCCTGGCCATCTGCTCGCCCTCCCTTGCTTTTCCCTCCAGAGTGTGACCCTTCCTCCTGCTGTGTTGTAATTGCTCCTACTGGAAGCCTCGCTCTGACTTGTCTGGTTTCCTTTTCCAGACCCTGATTTGGATCTCCAGCAGGCCCTCCACCAGTCCATCTTCATGCCTTCCCTGGCCTCTGACCCGACCCACCGCCTCCATCTCTGCTGGGAGAAGCACTGCAAGCTCTTGCCAGAGGTCTCGGGCCTCACGGCCAAACACGTGGCCAAATGGACTGTGGAAGAGGTGAGTTACCTGTTCCCTGTTCTGCTCTCTTGGGGTGCGGGAATGGCAGAGCCCTCCTCTTCTGGAGTGCTAATTGGAAGCATCTTTTTTCTTTCCTATGCTTTTCTGTTTGCTTTACATTATGCTGTAGCTGACTCAGCTAGAAGTTATACCCAAGTCCCTTTATAAGGGAGGGGAAGGATCCCTATTAACCCTCTGGTGTCCACGGCTTATTTCCCTGAATAGGATTCCCTCCCTTTCTTTGTTTATTTATTTACCCCTTGATCTTTCAGTCCTCAGGCCTGAAACATGATTCTGACAGCAGATTCTGTTTCTCTCTGATCTCCCTCCCCCTCTCCTGTGACTTTGCTGCTGATTCACGTTTACGTTGCAGATAATTCCAAACTGCACATGCCCACTCCTCCTGCGTCTCCCTGCCTGATTCCCCTGGAACAAAACTGCCCACAGCCTGACCTGATTTCTGACGGAGGTAGCTGTGCAGCTGGGGATATGTCTCTGCAGTCCTGGCTCTTGAGATGTCTCCTGTAATTAGGTGGCATGTGAAAAAGCTGGTATCTTTTGTGTGCTGAGTAGTTGGTTTTTGCCTCGATGCCTTGGGCATAAATAATATTTGTATCTCTGCTTGGGAAGTGGTGACAATTTGGATCCTGGTGCTTAATCACAGGCCATTTAATTCAAGAGAAATGTGATGTAATGTTGCGCTTGCAAGGATGTAGGTAATCTGCAAAACAGGAAAAAGGTGCCATTCTTCGTGATGCGTAGAGGATCTTCAGAGACTTTTAGAAAGTGCATTTTCCCTAAGTGCCTCTTACATCAGATAAATGCAGTCTTGACTTTGCACTTCATGCTAGAGGACCGCTAGGAGTCCAGTGGGATTGGAGTATCACAGGAGATGGGAGCTACAGCAGTTGTGAAGGGGTGAGAGCAACTGGGGTGGCTGTTTTCACAGAATCATAGACTGGTTTGGGTTGGAAAGCACCTTTACAGGCCATCCAGTCCAACCCCCCTGCCCTGGGCAGGCACATCTTCAGCTGGATCAGGTTGCTCAGAGCCCCATCCAACCTGACCCTGAATGTTTCCTGGAACAGGGCATCTCCCACCTCTCAGGGAAACCTGTGCCAGGGTTTCACCACCCTTGTTGTAAAAAATTTCTTCCTTGTATCCAGTCTGAATCTCCCCTCTTCTGGTTTAAAGCCATTAACTCCTTGTCCTATCGCAACAAGCCCTGCTGATAATTTTTTCCCCATCTTTGCTATAGGCCCCCCTCAGGTACTGGCAGCTGCTCTAAGCTCTCCCTGCAGCCTTCTGTTCCCCAGGCTGCACAGCCCCAGCTCTCCCAGCCTTTCCTCCCAGCAGAGGGGTTCCAGCCCTCGCATCATTGCTGGGGCCTCCTCTGGCCCTGCTCCCACAGCTCCAGCTCTGTCCTGTGCTGAGGGCTCCAGAGCTGGACGCAGGACTCCCGGGGCGGTCTCACCAGAGCGGGGCAGAGGGGCAGAATCCCCTCCCTCGCCCTGTGCCCACGCTGCTGGGGATGCAGCCCAGGGTATGGTTGGCTTTCTGGGCTGCCAGTGCATGTTGTCACCTCAGGTCCAGCTTTTCTATTTTTTAAGGGTTTTTTCAAGTTTTAAAACTTGGTCCTTTTTTTGTTGTTTTTTTGAGGGGGGTATTTTGCTAATGAAAATGTGTTTGAATTAAATTCATAGCAAGGAGGAAAAAATCTCTCTGAAAGATTTGCTGTTCGTATCCTTCTTTTGAGAAAGCTTCCAATGATTTTTCCAAAAGGTATTTTAGAAAATCAGTAAAGGCAGAAGCAGTTAATCCTCTGACGTGAAAATCAGAATCTTTTTCTTTTGGATAAAACATTGAGGCTGGTTGGTGAGGGACCAGAGTCAGGATACAAGCCAGATAAAATTTGTCCTTTGCAGTTGACCTTTAAAGCAACTGCTGGGTAAATTTAACTGGGATATTAGTTTGATAACGGATGAATGTAAGCAGGGACCACAGGGCATGAATGCAGGGCACTCTGGATATAGCGCTTCAAAACCCAGCATACACTGAACTGTGCTCTGCACTGCAGCCTGAAACAACAGATGAAGTTTCAGCTGCCAGTAGGAGTGCGAATGGCACATTAAAAAGATCAGTTGCAGCACCACAATGGACTGGCTAAAGTCATTACGGGTTTTGTCTTGAATTTCAATAAAGTGGATCTGGTTTTGCAAATTCTGTTCATCACGTTCCCATAGGAATCAATTTGGCCTCTGTATGAGCACTTGCAGGATCAGCATGTGCAGTGAAATGTAGCCGCGGGCCTGGAAGATGAAAGCAGCAGGACTTTCTGTGTTTTAGTGAGTCCAAAGTAGATTTGATCTGTCGGCATTTGGGCTCCTAACATCTTCCTACAGGGCAAACATTTGCCTTTGGGTTGTGCTTTGAACTCTACTGCACAAAGGAGGCCATTCTGATGTTCTGAAACAAGAGTGATGGGGGTGTAAAATTCTCCTTTGGTTTCAGACTGAAAAACTGTTCTTATTTTATAAAACCCACAATAAGGGAAAAAAAATTGCTTGATTTCTCTGTTGGTTGAGAACAGCTGAAATGACATAGCAGCAGCAGCATTTAGGGGCCCTCAAGCTAGGAAACTCTTGGTAACACTGAACAGTCAACAAGAGTAGTTGTTTTAATGCAGCTTTGTTATTTGTTGAAAAGTTCCTGTCATGTTTTCAGAGCACAGCTAGTGAAGGATGTTGAATCAGAGAAGAACATTAATATGTGCTAGAGTTGTATTGTTCATTAGTTAATCCTGCATCAGATGCTAACACCTGTGGGGCAGCTGTCCTTGCGCTAGTTGCTTGTGGGTTGCTAAATCCCAGTTAAGCGCAGCTCCTCTCTGCGTAGTCTCCCAAGGCGTTGCCAGTTCTGTTACAGCTTGGTATTAAAGGGGTGCCGTATGAGGCTACCTTCCAGCTTTACCAGAAAAGTGCACAAATAACTGTGCTGATTTCAATATATCACACGCATCCGGGATTGCGGCAGCACCCTCCCGTATGGGTTGCATGGAGTTTCTAAGGTGTTCTCAGAATTACATAAAGCTCTTTTTCAACCCCCTTCCCTTTACCAGTGTGCAGTTGTAGTGTAAGATGCTTCCCCCCATACAGCTCAGTGAGCACTGAGGTTGTTACCAGCAGGAAGCGCAGGCAGGCGTTCACCTCCTCAAGGGAAAAGCCCTGAGCTCCCTAATCCCACTGTGCTCCCAACCTGTCCAACTCCTCTCCCACCCTCATCTTGAGCCCTCTGGCCTCACCCTTTCCCTTGGTTCAGGGCTTCACTGCCACCATTGTGGGGCTGTGTTGGTTTCCTCTAGCCTGTGGTGTTACTGTGTTGTGGCCTTGTGCACCCAAGGGTCCCTTGTGCCTCAAGTGCCACATCTTGGTGTGGAGGCTCTCCTTCCCCTGCGGTAGTGGGCCAGACTCAGTGGAACCAAGGGTCTGGCCCACATCCTGGGGACCTTCTCTCCTGTATTCTCCTCTTGTATCCTCCTTCCCTCTCTTTTCTCCATTTGTGGTAAACCCCAAGACTCCTGTTTGTTTAAAAGGCCACTCTCATGGCACAGAGTGCTTGCAGTGTCTGTACAAATGACTTCTGGGACAGATCAAAGGCCTGTCGCTCAGTGTCTGTGACAATAGCCAGCAGCAATTGTGCAGGGAGGGACAGAGGAGCAAGGCAAGCTCAGATCATTCCCTGGAGATTTCTACCAGTCTCTCAGTACCATAGACACTAAAGGGCACTTATTGCCTTGCCCCAGGGGTCCAACAGTCTCTTAAATTCCAGAAGGTACCAGACCCTGCAGAAGGATTTTCATTTGTGTTTTAATTATAAGGGGGAGAGGAATTCAAAAGGAAAGTAGTATTTTGTTATTTGTTTATAATAGGAGTTTGCACTTCTACAGAAGAAAATTTGGAGTCGCTGCCTGATGGAGACGTGGATTTTAGGGGTTCTCTTGAAAATGGAGCTGTCCCTACTAGCAGAAGATAAGGACGAAACATGAGAGGGATGCTCTGCTTTCAGATTACATAACAGAAACAACGGGAGTCAGGGCTGCTCACCAAAAATCAGCTTCTGCCAGGCTAGAGCAAAACCGGAGGGCACGCTGACAGCTCCGTTCCTGCGTGGTCGGAACTGGGGGAAGGAAATGAGTATTAGTCAAGTGGTGGGATCAGCTGGAGATGCAGTGACACGGTTTAGGAGAGAGTCTGACAGTCGTGAGTTGAGGGGAAGCTTATATTTGACGGTGACCCCTCCTAAGTGTTTGTTTGTGTTCGTAGGAAGAAATGTCACATCTGTAATAACTCAAGTGAATAAGCCTCATGAAACAGAGCTGTTCCTGCAAGGGAGCATCCAATTAGCATGAGATGTTTGATCTTATTATGCCTCAATATACAAATCTCCTATGAACCAGTGAAACTGCAGCTGGAGAAGACAATACATATTAAGTCATCCTCTGCTGTGTTCAGGACTGCTCCTCGTGCTACTTTGTGTTATATAATGTAATCCAAGGGCTGCTTGCATGTCTCCGGGGTGATTATTCCAAATGTTAACAGATTTCCTGTTTAGAAAGGTTTTCCCTAATGTGAAAGGTAAAATTAACTTTTACTCCTTTAATATTGTTGGTTCCGTGGGTCCTGTGCACCCACCACGGAATAAATAAAACCAAAATTCCTTCCCAGCCCTTCTGTCTTCTGTGTGTCGCTAAACCAGCAGTACTGATTCGGTTGGTTTATTTTGTCTCTTAAAGGGATGTCATCATGGGAAGCTGTCTAAATCCTTTTTTTTTTTTTAATTTTACTTTGCAGCCGTACTGTAGAGACAGTGAAGTTGTGGGTGGCTTTAAGATAGTATAGCCATATACTTTTAATCTGTAAAAATCACGTTGATATTTTATGAGGACCCTTTCGAGCAATGGAGAAGCTGAACTCTTACAGAAAGATAAGTGGTCAGAAGGCAGCACAGGAAGTATTATGGGTAACCAGAATACACTTTGCAGGGGTGCTGCAGCAACAACTCAGTAATGTTTTTCATATATACCCTTCACTAGTGGGAGAGCTGTAAGTATTAAAGTTTTCAAAATTCTTGCGTCTCTCACACAGGACTGAGACCTTTTTGCTTGGTGATATCCCATTTTAATGGTCTGTGTTTCTCTTTTCTGAAATGTAATTCCAGGTGGTAAGCTTTATCCAGCGTTTACCTGGCTGCAAAGAACAAGCGTCTGTTTTCAGGGAGGAGGTAAGTCAAGTCTGCCCAAATCCATCGACTGGCGGGTTTGGTGGCAGCGAGGGGGTTTTGTACCCAGTTACTCTGGACTTACAGTGCTGAGAGCATAGACACGCTCAGACCTTGTCGTTAAAGAGCCTGTGGCATTTAGGAGACAGCTTCAGCATCGAGCTGAATTCTCCAGCATGGCTAATTAGATTCTACTGCTTTAAATTTCCTCTGCAGTTCCAATCAATGAGCTTATGCTTAACATCCTGTCTTGGACTATTGTGTAGTGGGTTTGGCATCGTTATAAAGATGTCCCGTTGGAATGGTGCGATGAAGATCTCATCTGCTCCCTCTAACGAGCACATATGCCTGCTTCTCTGGGTGAGGGTGGCAGTCGTAGGATTTCCCAGGAATTGCTGGCTTCCCCCATGGGCTGAGGTGAGAGCAGGAGGGGAACCTTTCCTTGAACAAGCAGCGGCTGGGAAATCAGAGCATCCCCTGCCTGCAGTGTGTCATGTCTTTGCTGCCACTTGCTGGGCTGGACGCTGTTCCCTGTTTGTGGCACGTTCACCGTGGCTTCTGAGAAACCTCAGATAGCGCAGGATATGGCTGTCCTCTTTCTTAGCACACTTCTTTGTGTGGGTCATTGACACTTAGGCTCTGTTGAGAGCTTCAGCTTCCGGTTACATTGCAGGTATAACTTGGAGGTTCCTTACGAGCCCCTGATAAATTTGCACAGATGAAGCTCCCCTTCTATCATCCCAGCTTTACTGCTCTGATTGTAAGAGATTGAGGGAAGGGGCTGTACCTTCTCTGTTCTGTGTGGCGCTGAGCCACCCTCTGTACGGAGGAAAAGCACTGCACATTGTAGCGACTGTAAAGGGCAGGTTTTTAATAGATGACTGCTCCCCAGAGCTGGCTTCCTTTCAGGATGAATCAGGCTGTAGTGTATTTTATGGGATTTATGTATCTGTATTTTGTTTTGCCTTGTTTTAAAAAACATGCACACACACAAAATACAAAGCAAAAGAAATGGAGGCTTGCAAAAAGCACTGTTCACAATGTAACAATATAGTGGAATGCTGTTTAATTGAATGTAGTGGGAATAATAAAATTTATTGGACGGAACCAGTTTTTCAGTGTAGATAAGTGTAAAAGGTGAGTCCTGATTTCTAGTGAAGATGTGTTCAGAGGTGAGAGTTTGGTAGGTAAGATGTAACTAGCAGGTCTTCTGTTGAATCCAGCCATTCACAATGTATTTCATTTCTTCTAGCCATAACTTAAACGGGTCCTGAAAAACCAGTGACCGCTTTCTGGTTCAGAGAGCGCAAAGCCACGTGCTATTTTAATACCTTCCTTTCTACAGCCTCAAAGTATGATTCCCTATGCCAAATGAGAGGGGCTTAGGTGGTTTTTCAGGTTTATGCTCAAAACAAATTGTCAGTTTGAAATTAAAACCCTTTTAGCAGTTTGGCTTTGGCCAGAATTCAGGTGTGAGTGACTGGGATTGCTGAACTCCACCCGTGTTGTCCATTAGCTGTAATCAGGCCTTTGAATGCTCTCCTTTTAGGATAAATATGTCCCTTGCAGACTTTTCTTGGCGGGGGGAAGGAAGGGGAAGGGATAAGTTGCTGCTTACATTAGGAATGAAGAGAACAAATTGTGCACAGAATTTTAAAAACCATCCAAATAAGATGGAACGGAGAAATTAATAATAAAGCACAGCCACTGATATTGTGCTTGTTTCTAGGTCCAGTCCAGGGAAGGTCTGTTTAAAATAAGCATCTTTGAGGCAGCACAGTAAAAATGAAGCATAGTAAGAATATTGGACTCAAAAGCATTTTGAAATGTAGGGCTGTTTTCCAGCAGTTTTCTGCTACTCTTGACTCTATATTATTTCATTTAAGCAGGAGTCCATTTGTTTCAAGCTATTTTTAGCATGTTCATTGCAGTAGTGTAGACTCTAGGCAGCCTGCGCAGAACATTCGGGGACATTGTGTGGCCATCTGTGGACTGGGAGCACTGCTATGATTTCCAGTGTACGTACTGGGAGATGAAGTAACTTACTGACAGTCTCTTATGTGGGTAGAGAAGGGGAAACCAAATCTCCTGGCTCCCATCTCTTTGCCTTAATTATATGTTTGTTCAAGTTTATTCAATGTATCCTTTTCCACCAGTCATTGACATCTAAAAAAGTTCTCGTTAGGAAGACTACAGAAATACAATAACTGTTATTCTGGATGAGTTGAGTGTCTGGTGCTGTCCGCTGCACTGGTGAACATCAAGTGAGAGGATGAGATGCTGTCAGTCCCTGTAAATGGACTTTAATGGAACAACTTGGGGAGACACATACTGTTTGTCCGTGTCCATTAATCTTTGGCTTCTTCCCTGCAGCATTTGGAGTTTATATTAATTATATCTGTGTTGTCTCTGTGGATGTTCTTGTAAACCCAAGTAAATTTTTAACCTCTTCTTGAAATAATATGGCATGATTTCACTCACTGCCACCTAGAGCATCCTGTATTTTTGCAAGGTGGTATGTTTTTTGCTTGCTTACTTTGAATCTGGTCGAATATCTCCTTGCTGATGGATTAGGAGGGAGTGTGTAGAAGTCTAGACAGATTACCTGTCTTTACTATACCTTACTTTGTAGAGCACATGATCTTTTTTACCATGTGCTAAGCAAGCCAATTTAGTGTCGTTGAAAACAATTTCACAATAGCCTCCTGTTTCTCTTTTAGACAGAGACTTGTGTCTGCGGATGTAGTATGTCCTAGTTGTGAGAGTAGCCAGATGTTCACGTCTCAGGAATTTTTCTCATCTATAAGATTTTTAGCAGAGCTGAACAAAAAGAAGCAGGAAAAAAAGGCTTTTTTGCTTTAAATTTTACCATGAGCAGCTTAACAGGGGTCGAAGAGCCTATGCAGTGACAGTATGTAATGAATGCACTAGGAAATGGTGATCTTATATTTCTAATCATCATAGATCAGTGTAATATATTAATTCTTGGATAGCTGCCTCCTGAAGGCTCACATTCTGGATTTCCTGACCTAATTTCTGGCCACAGATTGTGAATAGACCATAGGATTTTTGACAGTTGTTGGCTGTTTAGAGCAATTACAGTGAATATAAAGTCTACTGAATGAGCATCCTCTTCATGGTCACCCCATAAGCCTTGCCTACACTTGGGCTTCTCTATTTCTAGAAAAAGGGCTGCTAAACGAGGTCAGAGACCCTTGGGAAGGGCGGCATGCCTGGGATCCTCATGGGTGTGGGTGCCAGAACTAGGGAGAAGTACAAGGTGTGTCTTCAGACCTTTGTTCGTACTTTCATTCCTCAGTTCAAAGTACATTGTTTAACTGAACGACCAGAAGTGAGAATCCTGCTTCTCTCTTGATGGTAATCTTTATCTTACATTGTGTTTCCAACCTCTAGCAGATAGATGGTGAGGCCTTCCTGCTCCTGAACCAGAGCGACATAGTTAAAATACTCGGTATCAAGCTGGGTCCGGCCCTGAAGATCTACAACGCCATTCTCATGTTCAAGTCTGCAGAAGACAATTGAGAAGAGTCCTTCAGCAGAGCCCATGAGGAATTGACAGGGAATGGATCTTCAACTGAGAGCGTTACAACGTGCCGAACAGGCAGATTGGTACTCAGATGTATTTTAAGTAGATCTTATTAAAAATATTTTGAGGACATAAAAATCCTGCCACAGTCTGGAATATGGGGCAGCTTCACTTCCAAGAAGAGGATATTATTATATTTTGTAACTGAATTTGGTTTTGATATATCAATCTCTTTTTGAGATCTAGAAGAAACCTCCAGTTATAAGGGGAATCCAGGGTAACATTGGTGGAGCTGCAATAGCAAGAAGAAAGCGATGAGTAACATGACGGCTGTGTCCAGTGATAGTGCCTGAAAGAGAGACTGAGGTATCGCCACCATATTTAATATATTCTGTATGTATAAAAACTTTGAGAAAAGAGGGTAAGAAAATAGGAAAAAGATGCGCTTCAGAGCAACTCACCTGTATCCTTCAATGCTGTGACTCAAGAGCTGACCTTTTCAGGACTGCTTTTTAAATTCCCGTTTCTCCTACTGACCCTAGTTGTTCTGATACCCTTGGTACTGGGCTGCTTACACCGCAGCAGAAAGGTGGCATGGGCGAAGGGTTTCCTTCAGTGATGGCTTGCATCATTTCTGGTAACAAGCAAAATGTTCTCATTCATGTCACCAGAGAGCAGGAAGCAAGCCCTGTGTAGACAGGTAGGCAAAGATCTCTCATACAGATGTCTCCCACAGGAGATTAGTATTTTAGCTGTAGTTCTCCCTTCAGTGCTTTCGTGCAGCTGCTGTCTGGACCAGGAACATCTTACGGCAAAATGGCACAATCAGGAGCACTTGGGAGTTTGATGGGTTCATTCTTGTCCTCTCCACTGTCAGCCAAATGCTAGGAATGTGAGTTGGAAACCCAGCAGTGGCCAGTATATGCGTACAGATGCAAACAGATTTCCTAGAAACAGCTTGCTTTTATTTTCGAACAATCGAAACTCATGAACACTTAGTGCTTTAGCCTTTTCAGCTTCCAGGTGGACTTTGGTCTGTTCTACCGAAGAGTCAGTGTGCTGTAGCAGCAGGGCACCAGCTCTTCTGCCTCTCTAGTGGCAAGCAGGCAGAGCACACAGGGAAGTTTGACTGGAGGGGAACCAGGGTTAGAACAGACAGCAAAGCGAGGTAAGAATTACGTCTCGAAAGAGAGAGTTAATCTGCATCAGGGAGGAAGCAAAGCTTGTGGCTGTGCTCCCTCTCCATCCAGTCTGTGCTCTCCTGGTGGGAGGGGGGCACGAGTATTTCCTGCTATTCTCAAAGTCTGACTGTAGTTATATGAACATGCACATGGGACCACGGTGTCCTGGGGGGGCGATTTCCATGCTGTTACTTCCAGAGCCGTCCTCCTGCAATGGGAGCCCTGGGAGGAGCGCTGAGCTCTGCTGGGCCTCAGCTCAGTGTTGCCGTTCATGCCTGGCAGCACGTTAGCACGTGGCTCTTGCTCTGGCCATCCACCCTGATAGATATTTGGCTCTTCTGGAGTTCAGCTAGAACGTGCTTAGCTAGGGAAGCCTTTTCACCTCTTCAGTCAGAGCAGCCGGGCTGAATCCTGTGTGCATGAACCCTTCCGAGCACTGGGAGTATCGGTGTTGTCGAAGGCAGGCGCGCCATCAGCCTCTGCCCAGGGTTGCATGAATTTGTCTGGGCACTTCATGACGAGATATGATCCATCCATAGGCACGTCAAACTCTCTCCTGTACTTGGCATCTTTGTCACCAGTGGTGTTGCCGTAGTCCCAGTCCTGCAGCTTCCCTGAGAGCCGTTGGGAAGAAAATGAACACGCTGTCCATGACTGCATCACAACACGAGGAATGCACTTGGTCTTCCTTTCCCAGTTGCTCCATGTCCTTTGTCCAACCTTCAGCTGCCGAGAAGGTCCTTGTGACTTGCCTGAAGTAGTGAGTTCCTTAAAGTTGTAAATAGAGCAAAATCAACACCGCTGAAGCCATTCAGTCCGGGATTAATATATAGAGCAGTTTGTCTCCATACTTTCTATTTTTGTATAAGATGTTAAGGAGTTTAAGCCTTCCGCAGAGAAGACATAGGGTTGGTGGGATATGTAATAGCTGAAACATGAAATATCAGCTAGGCAGCTGCAGGAGAGTCATTTAATGCAGTGTTAAGGATATGACAAGATATGAATTTAATTTATTAAAATACATTTTTAGTATGGTAACCAGGATATTCACCAAAGAATCACATTCCTTTATCCCACTCTGCGCATCCAGCGTCAATGTGAAAACCTGAATTGTAAGTGGCATGTCCGGGACTCTTGACACAACTCGCCTTCTAGGCAAAGCAAAATTGTTTCCTGACAACTGGAGCAGAGGAGCTGTAGCTGGCTCTCCACCGACTCACTAAATAACCCTGAGCCCTTCTTTGCTCCAGTTTCCCCCTCTGTGACACCCAGTCAGGTGGAGTGAGTGCAATTTTGCCTTGCTTTTGTTTCCAGCAAGCAGGTCCTGCTGGATTTTCTATTTTACCTCTTTCATTTGGGACACCGAGTTGAGGGTCAGCAGATTGCCTCCAGCAATAAAACAAAATATAGCATTATTTCATCTCTTTTACTATATATAGATAGAGGATGAAGAGAATCGGTGAAACAAGCAATGAGATTCTAGTCACTGAAATTATTCAAACAGAAGAGAAATCTTTAATCCTAGAGGCTTCCAAGCCAGCTGGATCAAAGACGAAAATGTGTACTTGGAGTTTGTTCAGTGACAGCGAGAGTAGTGCTTTCAGCAAGGAGGAAGGAGGAACCCTTTTAGGGATAGAAGGAGGAGGAATGTGCTTCTTGTGCCTTTTTTTGTAATCCGATAATTGTCTTTGCAGAGCAAGCAAGAATGTGCACGCAGCTATTACTGACTCCTTTTCCAAATATAGCTATATTCTAATAAAATCAAGCAACTTCGTAATAACGCAAGGGCAAGAAGATTTCCAATGTCTTCACTGGAGAAGTTTAAAATTCCCTAATATTTACAAGACAGAAAAAAAACTAAACCAGCTCATCTTTTAGCCTCATAACTTAGGAATTCATTGGTTGCTGATGCCGTTTCGCTTGCATCAGGGAGCCCCACTTTCACGTGCGGCTCAGTGACTTGTTTCTGCCCCCAGACTCTGCCCGTACTGGCTCAGCTCTGCCTTTTCCCGGTCCTCACCGAGGCCTGTGTCAAGGCAAGGGGTCTAATTGATTGTCTAATGCCTTGTTGTCTAATTTGAAACATGCACTTTGAAGCAGAAAGCCAAAAGTTGTATCTCTGTCGTGACCAAAGCTGAAACTGATTAATGCCACCTGGTTTTAGGAGGCTTTTGTTGTGTGCTAAATGTCAGCAGAAACCAGCTGTTGGCCAAATGAACCCAGAAGTCACTTAGAAATACAAATATATTACTTAAAAGCAACCCGGAGCTGTGACAACCTTCCGTGGGCCAGCAGTGCATTTGAGAAGTTTCAGTTCTCAATTAAAATGGAACTTTTTTCTGGATATGTTTTGCTTCTGTATCCCTGTTTCTGGAATCCAAAACAATCAAATTTGTCTCTTTTTCTCTTTTTCTTCTCAGTAGAGGGTCCTCTTAAAATTTTTCTGTGCCGTCACCAGTGATCATCCTTGTAATCCAGTAGTAGCAAATTTGTGCTCTGGGTAATAAATCGCATTAAAGTTGGCCAGAACCGTTCGGCAACACTGATAGCAAAACTCGACAACCAAAGGAAAAAAATTAAAAAACATTCAGCCCAAGGGATAAGCTAGTTCAGCTGTAGAAGATTTCCTGCCTGCTACTTTCATGCCCTGCTTAGGGATTTATACCACAGAAAGCTTTAAAGTTTTTGACATCCTCTCCATCATGTGATGAGCTAGCTTATTTTTGAAATTCCTATTACTTGAACTGGAAACACGTGCAGGGGAAGGGAGCGTGCGCCTGTTGTCTCGGTTCAGCCTCTGAAATGTTTGCCTGTTTTAAACCAAATACTTGAGCTTTTCGACACTAGCCATGATGTTGCACTCCACCGATGCTTTCTTCTGGAAATGTGAATAAAATTAATATAAGTTTGAACCTGACTTGTTCTTTCCGTGTTTAGGTCCAACCCCAGCACGTGCTCGCGGGGAAGCCGGGCTGGCTCACAGCCCCAAAGGGCTGTCACCGGGGTGGGTCGGTCATCGCGAAGGTCCCTGGCTTTGTCCCCTTGGTTTCCTCCCCCTAAACCCGGCAATCAAGATGCAGGCAGCATTTTCATCTTTTCTGCCTTTCATCAGGCAGAGGCCAAGCCGTATGTTTGAGCTCTCCTTAATTTGTACACAGGACAGGATTGGCCTTGGCCGGCGTCATCAGCTGAGGCTGTGCCTGATGCCCCAGATCCTGGCTGTCCTCTGCTGCTGATAGTATTTTAATCCCTCATGGTTTCCTGTTGCAGACCATCCCAGGACTCTGCCGTCTTCCTAAAGCAGCTTCCAAATTTGAGCAAAAAACTAAAACTAGCAAAAACTTGGTATGAATCGATGCATTTTGGTTTTTGTGTCTGTTTTACCTTCCTTAATGCACTCCTGGGCTTCTTCACTGTGACCCCATAACAACTTCAGTGAACTCACCTGGGCATTTGTTTCTGCTCTAATTGTAATTAGCTGATAAATTGCAAAACACTGTGCAGCATGCCCTCAGTTGGTTTTCCCCCAGAATGGGGTGGTGGAAGCTTTCCTCTGGATCTCTGCAGAGCTGTTTCTGGTGGAGCCGAGAGGCTGAGGCCGCACCTGCAGCGTGTCGCCGAGCCGGGGGCAGGAGGGGACCAGGGCACAGATTCACAGCGGTGCCTGAGATTAGCAAACCTTTGAAAACTAAAAATATGGGAGAGCTGGCGCCCAGCCATAATTTCTAAACTATCCCATCATCAGGGTAAACATTTGCTCTCATTGGTTTTTCCCTTCCAAGTTTTTTTTGCTTCTATTTAAACCCCGGCTTGTT